ATTTCTGTAAAATATATAAAAATAGTATTGCTTATTTATTAATTTAGTAGAAATCTAATATTTTATAATATATTTCACAAAAGATTTACTAATGAAAATAAAAAAACTAAAGAAGCTAAAAAACAAAAGTAACTAAGAATATAAAATAGAATAAAGAACCCAAAAAAACTAAAAATTATCATTTATCCCTAACTGTTTTTTATTTCATTTCATTTCCCCAAAACCTAAATTGTTTTTTTAAACCATATAAAATGAAAATTCAATAAGCAGTCCTTAAAAAGTAGTTTCACTTAAAAGAAAAAATTTAATCCTTGTCAAATAGCTACCTTAAATAATAAAGAAGATATACATGTAAATGAAAAAAACATCACAAACGTAACCCAAATAAAATAAATACTAGAAGAATGAATGAATTATAAGGCATTATTTATTTAGTTAATTGGAGCTCTATTATACAAGTACAATGTACCTGGTACATCCTAGAATTTTGGCGTAAACTCTTATACAGTAATAAAGTTTGTAAATCTGGCGATATCGTTTTCATTGTGGCTAATTTCAAGTCCAAAATTTTCGAGTGCAAATACATTTTATGCAACCCAATCCACAAATACAAACGATATGCGGGAGGGTCCGGTAAATATAGCACTTAAATGAGTATCGATGTGTATGGCCAAGGATGTTTATTCAATTCAAAATTGATAGATTGCAGTTAATGGTACTTAATTAATAACAGTTATGTGAATTTAATGTACATATATTTTTTGGGCAAAGTTATAATTTTAAAGTAAAAGAAAATACCAAATTGAAAACCTATAATAATAATAACAGAATTAATTGTACAAAAAAACGAAGGAAAAGGTCATTGGATCACTTTAAGAGTCCTTTTCATAACATCGTCATAATTCCAGAGAGCTTGCTTTAAAGTTGACGCAGCTTTTAATGTTCCAGCGGCATTTTACAAACAAGATGTCGAGGCTTGTTTTGTATTCTTTATACTTTTAAATTTGAATAAATCACAAAAGCATTTTTTTGCGTTTTTGAATTAAACGCTTTGTTAATAATGAACAATTAAATTTATCCTTTTAGAAAAGCAGGTTAAATGCACCTTAATGGGAAAGCTGAGAGTGAAAAAATTATATGGACTTATGGAATTAGGATTTAATTTTAAGTAATATAAGCCTTATATTATAAGGTTTTCGACCAGCCGTATTTTTTATTTTATCAAAAAACCAGCCTTACAATTTATATAATAATAATATTATGTTATACAGGTGTCCCTAAACTTAGTGGCATTAATTTAGGAGCAGATTAAGCAAGTCAAAATAAGACGAAAATCTAAATAAATATTTTTCCTAATTACGTATGTCTAAAAGATAGAGGGTGATAAAGTGTTACTTATATTTTGCGAACAGTCACTACCAAAACACATATTCACACATAATTACAATTGTTCGAGTGAACGCAGTGTCGTAGAAACAGGGGTTGCTTAAGCTTATTGTCCCATACAAACTTTGAGGTTAGGTTTTTATACCACTCAGTTCGGCTACTATTAAAAAGGTGTACCTCTCAAACTTTGATAAAATTAACCGTTTCCGAGATTACAATAATTGTTATATGGCATTAAAGGACTAAAAGGTATATGATAACAAATTTTTTAATTGAAAAAACTACTTATCTACGCCAGTGAGATAAGAACTTCTTATCCCACTTATTTTGAGTGAGATAAGAAGTTCATTAACGCACGCGTTTTTCTCTGCTTTTAACCAATCAAATAAAAAAGTCAAAATGTCAAAATGTCAAAATAACCCTAAATTAAGTCTTAGACAAAAATAATTACCGTTTATTTTTTCATTAAGAGGCGTAGATAAAAATTTGTACAATATACGTGTGATAACGCTTTATTAACGTACTTTTGCGATTGCCCAACTCGTGCTACGCACTCGTTGGGCAAATTTCGCATGCGTACGTTAATAAAGCTTTTATCCCACTTATATCGTAAATAACTTTAATGTGACGGTCAGGGCAAAATGTCCCGAGGCTCATGAAATGCCTTTTTTAGTTTTTTCAATTAAAAAATAAAATGTGTTATCATACATTTTTTAATCCTTTTAAATAATGCGATATAACAATTATTGATATCTCGAATATCTCGGAAACGGTTTATTTTATCGAAGTTTGAGAGGTACACCTTTTTAATGGTAGCCGAACTGTGTAATCGAAAAATTGCATCAAAACTTATCAAAACCTAACCTCAAAGTTTGTATGCGACAATAAGCTTAAAGCAACTCCCGTTTCTACGACACTGTGTTCACTCAAACAATTGTAATTATGTGTGAATATGTGTTTTGGTAGTGTGACTGTTCGCAAAATATCACCATCGTAGAAGTTATATTAAAAAAACTGATATGATAAGTAACACTTTATCACCCTGTATCTTGGAAACATAAGTAATTAGGAAAAATATTTATGTAGGTTTTCGTCTTATTTTGACTTGCTCAATCTTTTCCTAAATTTATGCCAATAAGTTTAGGGACACCTTGTATAAGGATTTAAAATAATTCTGATAGTTTCGGAGATAAAAGTGGAAAATTTATAGTTTTATTAAAATAATTTTTAATGGGGTTTTAATAAAATTAAAAAACTTTAATAAAATATTTAATTTTAAGTTCAAGTTCAAGTTTCAGTTCATTATTGTTTTTTGTTATTCTACAACTAGCAAGTGTCGACATATGGACGTTTTTATATATCTTTATTAGGATATAATTTAAAACAAATATTTACTACTAAAGTCTATTCAAATCTAAGCTGGACTAAATGTAAACACAATCCTCCGAATCGACCAATAAGAACCCACAATCCGAGTCACACCATCAGAATCGACCAATGAGAACGAGTTATCATGCGTCTGGGCGTTTTTGTTTAGTCCAGTTTGGATTTGAATACACTTTAGATGTAAAATCTTTTGGTTGAGCGTTCAGTAAAGTATCTGTCTCCAAATATTTTAAAGTATTTAAGTATGGGCCATTTAACGGAAACACAGAGAATTGAAGTTTTAATTCTCATATATCCTCTCATCCTATAGGATGTGTCAATATAATAGAACACAAGAAGTTTGCAATTATCCAGCTCGACCTATTACTTGTACTACGGTTAGTAAAATTGAACGAAAATTCAGAGAGACTGGACATGCCAAAGATATTCCAAAACATGTCCGTCCAAGTATTAGTGAACACTAAAATTGACATTTTGTTACGTGTGGAAGAAGATCCTCACAGTGCTTCTAGTCCCCTCTCGATTATTTCTTATGGGACTACCTTTAATCAAAGGTCTACATCAACAGACCACAAAATTAAAAAAGGCAAGGCATTTTTTGGGAAAAAGGCACATTTTTAATGAATTTGATCCATACTTTTGCTGGTCAACGTACAACAAGCTTATCTCTCTTATTTGGTTGGTTTCCAGGACAACAGTTTTCAGTTGTGTACGTTACGGTATTTCGAGTTTTTTAAACATATTTGAAACAATGTACTTGGGTCATTTTCAAGAAACACCCGCTTTCAGGAAAATGAAGATCAAAATGTTTTTTTGCTTAAATTGACTTTTGGTTGCAACCCATGGGTTTTTATAAATGTTTAGAGTTTTGTTTACTTACATTTAAGACAGGCAGTGCACGTTTTATTTTTTTTTACGTTTTTTTCAGAAAAATGTTTCCACTGTGTTACAAATTTGAAATCCAAAATTTAATTCAATAAAAAAAGTTGTTATAAAAATAATTTGAAATAAAATGTACTTAGTTCCTTTGACTCCAATTTTTTATTTTATTTTTTATTACAAATTGTATGCCTTTTTTAAATATTTATGTTGGTTAAGTTACTTTTTAAAAGACACCATTCCGATTCTTTGTTAAAAAAACAATACCATTAATATTTTCTTTTAGTCACTGTATTAGTGAGTTAAACTCTAATTTATAAACTGGTATTACCAAGTTATGTTAAAATCATTTTAAGGATTTTTTTTTAACACAAACTAAAAAAAGTAACGAAATAGACATTGGTATCACAACGGACGGGTACACAAAGGACTTAATCAGATAACGTAAAAAAGAAACTATATAGGGTGGTACGATTTTAGAGTAATGCATAAACAAAATCCCTTGTAGTGGTGCTCACTTGCAGAATAACAACTTAGATATCTAAATTGTAGACACCCTTTTTCTTTGACTATAAGCTGGTGAAGGTCCCTTTAATAAAAAGTTTTGTGAAACCATATTTAAAAAATAATAATAAGACATTACAGTCATTAATTACTCTCAATAAGCTTTAGTGGCCTAAAATAAACATAAAAAATAGTATTTTTTCTTAACTTATTTTTATTATTTTTTTGAGTAACTTAGCGGACAAACAATTATTACATTCGCGTTACCCGCACCTGTTTCAACCGATATCTTCTTCTTGATTGAATAAATAAATTCAGCTGGGTAATGAGTACGTCCGAACATCATTTGTTGATCACGTGAGTGCCAAAAAAGTTGCCATATATATGTTTTTTTTTAATATTCTATCGGTAACGCGACGGACGTAACGCAACGGAAAAAATGTCTGGAACATGATTCAAATTTAAAAAAAGTATAGGATGTTATGGATTGCTATAAAGCAACACAGAGTTCTGGTTATTCAATATTTTAAAAAAAAACATGTATGTAAGTTTTATGAAACGCTAATGGGACATGCGAAAATGTGTGTTTCACAAGTTTCAAAATTTAAAATAAATTATTCTGAAATAACTAAACAAACATTCTCTGAAAGAGTTTACTAAGGGCTTGTTAGGCTTTCACTTGGTTGTTAAATCAATAAGATCCGATAATTTTTAACAAGTTATTGTAATTCAAACTTACGGACAGCGAAAGGCGGGTGTTTTTTGAAAACGACCCATTTAGGTGATAATATTAAAAAAAGGAAAACATGTTTGTTTTAAAAACTCACTAACATTTTCTTTTGTAGGTGTAGAGCACCTATAGCAAGCTTAGACTGCATGGAAGAATTTAGTGCAGGAAGCGCGCTAAGCGCTCTTGCTGGAGAACGACCCGGAGACAGCATGACCAAGGAGCAGCTCCTTCTTGGCGGTCTTACGCACACAACTCCCGCCGCCCCCCTTCAACTAGCAAGACAAGCATCTGTCACGCCGGGACTGAGATACAGGAATTTGGGGAAGAGCGGGCTCAGGGTTTCCAATATAGGCTTGGGTAAATATCATATCTTTTAAACAAATATATTTATATTAGAAATATTCCCCAACACCACACAGAGAAAAATTTGTTGGATTTGGTTTAATAATTGTATGAATTTGTTCAACGAAATGGTGCAAAAAGGGTGACAAGAACAATTTGTGGTAAAATGTAGCAAATAATTGTAGTAAATTTAATATATTAAAAACTAAAACATTATTTATTTGAAATTTGAACATATTTTAATTTATATTCATATAATTTGTGTAAGTAAATGAGTATTTTAGAGACTTTTTTAATACAATATTTTGAGTTGAAATTGCTCAAATTGTAGCACATAATAACACAACATTGTAATAATAATTTCTCAAATTTAATTAAAAAATTTAATATTTTTTGGGATGTGAGGGTGGTAAAAACGAAAATTAAACTAAATTATTAATTTAGATAACTATGTATTCAGCGACTTATACAAAAAATATGGAAAATGAAATACCTAAACTTAATATAAACTGACACTGACAACATAAAATAAACATAACAAAACATAAACTACAAACTGAAAAATAAAATTCGTATAAATAGTTAATTCTAATAATATACAGTTCATTTTTTTTTATCTGGACTCGTGTTTTTTGTTAGTATTTTTACTATTTAAAAATGGTACTGGTTGTTGGCCGCAAACGATTAAAGAAATTAGTTACTTTTAACTCTCAGAAATAGTCAAGGAAAGTGACTAATCTTAAATTATTCAACTGTAACTATTTTTAAAAAAATAACTATTTAAAAGTAAAAACGACTATTTTATTAGTAAAAAATGCTGGTGCTAATTCAAATAGTAGAATTTTGACTATTTCATTTTTAGAGAGTAGCACATTTATAGAAAATTATGCTCCAATGGCATGTTGCACAACTTTGTGCAATGTTTTTCAAACGGATTTTTCTCTTGTCTTCCTTAATAAGTTTGACTTTTCAATTTTAGGAATCCTATCTTTAGGTTGCCTGAAAATGTCTGGAGTGTGTTACTGCTTGAACTAAAAGCAATTTTTAAACACACAGCATATTAAAGATATTTTTTTCTATTTAGGTACCTGGCCAACTTTTGGCCCAAACGTAACTGAAGAACAAGCAGAACAAATAATCGTATTGGCTGTGGAAAGTGGCATCAATGTTTTCGATTTGTCCGAAGCACATTCAGGTAAGTACCACCATAATAGTGACTGACAAGTTGAAAGAAATGCCTTAAAATTAAATACCTAATCTTGTTTCAGGGACACGAGCCGAAGTAGAATTAGGAAGGATTTTAACGAGAAGGGGTTGGAAAAGGACGAGTTATATTGTAACCACCAAAATTTACTGGAGCACAAGGTAATTTTAATTTCAGAAAAAAATTGGCCAAACCTCAGCTGCCTTAATTGTTTCCATAAATTGTTGCACTGTATAATGTTCCCTTAACAGCTACTGTATTCAATATAATGTAAATTCTGAAATTATTAAATATTTAATCAATAATACTAGTTTACAGCCATTTTGCCTACCATGTCTCACTATGATTTTCTGTGTAGTTTGGCTCACTAAACGCAAAAATCACACTTAAATTTTTTGTAATGGAAGCGTTTTGGAGATATGAATTTTCAATTACAATTTTACAAAAATTGAGGTCGAAAATTTACATATCTTTCTGGGAAAGAAAGAAATCGAAAAGATAATTCCAGTTTGATTTATTTTACGTATAGATTATTATTAAAGGAAAAAAATAAGCTGCTGTTTATAAAAATCCATGGATAAATGGATAAAAAAGTTATGAACTTATCAGTGGAAGACCACAATTCACTTTTTCGAGAATGTGTACGTTTTTTCTTCATTTTATTGAATGATATAAAATTTAATATTGAACATTGATTTTTATTTTAAACATTAAATATTGAAATTAAATTATATATTAAATATTAAACCTTGAAGAAATTAAAAGTGTTATTTTGCTGTAATAAGCATGGGTTAAAAAAAATTCTGGCTCCTTGTTTTTTTATGCTTTCGTATTCCGTTTCTCGTATAAGGGACCAAATCACCCATCATGGCTGCATCCCAGAAGCCGTGATACCGCCGCTCCAAACGTTCTCCGTGCTCATGACTTACGTCGCCCAGATTGTGCGGGTTATTTAAGCACTTGAACTCTCTACTTCTTTTACTCATTTTATACTTTTCATTAACTGAATAAAACCATGATAAAAATACCTTGTTGAAATATCAAAAAATATCAGTAAAATGTCACTATGCCAACACGAGAAACAAAAGAATTCACGTTTGCGAAGTCATGTCAAATTTAAATTTTGAATAATGTTTTCGGTGAAAAAAGTACGTAAAAGCTCAAACAATTCTAATCATGCACTTTATTTAGGTTTTCATTAAAGACTAAACATATATATAAAAAAAAAATTAGTCGTCAAAAAGCTGAATTTTGGTCTTCCACTAAAAAATTTATAACTTCGCCATTTTTTCATGTATTTTTATCAAAATTCAAACTGGAGTAATCTGTTTGATTTAAACATTTCCCAGGACGATATGTAAATTTTCGACCTCAATTTAATAAAAAAAAATTTTTTTAGATTATTAATATTGCTAGCGTCAAAATACGTATCCGATATCAAAAGTATGTATGTATGTTTGACCAAATCGATCAATTAGATTTCAAACTATGCTTAAAAACGTCAAAACACCTCTGAAAATTGAAAAAAACAATTAAAAATTCATATTTTAAAAACGCTTCCATAAAAAAAAATTGATTGTGATTTTCGTGTTTAGTGGGTCAAAATACATGGAAAAATTATAATGGGATATGTGGTGGGCAGATTTTTTTTTGATTTTGTGAACTAGTCTAATTATTAATCTAAAACTATATAAATAAAAGGATAAAGGGATTAAATTATTATTTAAGCTTTGGTGTCCTTCAAGCCATCTAATGCGGATTACGTTTCGGCAGAGTCAGATTTGTGTTTTAAGGGTCGACTTATTAGTGTTTTTCCTTTCAGATCCGAGGAAAGGGGACTTTCACGGAAACACATTATCGAAAGCGTCAAAGCAAGTCTATTAAGGCTACAGTTGTCCTACATAGATGTCGTTATCGTTCACAAAGCCGATCCGATGTGTCCTATGGAAGGTAAATTAATTAAAAAACACAAAATACCACAAAAATAGCGCAGTTAATACTCCAATTATTTTTGACGTGGCCTAATAAATTTCAATGCCAATGTTTATAAATAATAAATTTTACTAATCGAGAAAAAAACTATAAAATATCAGACAACATTTAAAAAAATTTAATCCGAATCAAAACAAAAACCACCGCTCTACACACACTGCAACACAAACTGCCACCCACCACATCTTCAGTCCCCCGCCATGTGATATAAAACCACCAATTAGAGCAAGCCCAAGCTCCATTCTCTCGCCTCAAGCAGCTACAAATAGACGCGAACTCGCCTGATATATTAGTAGATAAATTGTTTAAAATATCTGTGGTGTAAAATGTAATCTTAAAATGGTGTCTAAATCCAACAACAAGTGGTGTTAATATAAACACCATGAATTATGGTTGAAAATTTTATATACAGCAAACACCAAAACGGTGTTTATCTAAAAATATTTGAGAAGTGCACCTTCACAGAAAAAAGAAATAGTTAATTTAACTATATTAATTTAGTTGGCTGATAAGTATTTATTTAAATCAACTGTGGGAAGGTTAATATAAACAAAGATTAGTTTGACGGTACTAAACCAGATAGTTATTTTTTTTTTAATTGGTTAAATTAATACAGAAAACTTTAGTGAAACCAACCCGCTGTATGGTTCAGTTTACTAAATATGTTGTTTGTAAAATAAGAGTTACTTCAACCTAAAGCACTCTGTTAAAACGATTGAAACAATTTGCAGTGCATTCCTGGTTGCATATTATGTACCGATCGCGACAAAGGCGGTGTGGATCACGTGATGTTCTTAAATCTCGCATCTGTTGACTTACATGAAGAGTATATATGCTCAGGTATGACACTACAAGTTGTTCGATACTACAGAGACCTTAAATAGGTGGAAACAGCTGTTGGTGGAACGCACTAAAAACATTATCTCTAGCGAGTTGAAGGTTCAATTTTCTGGAATAATACCACTGGTAATATACTAGTAATGCGTTAAGGAACTTCCTGTTTCCTTTTTTTCCTTTTTTCTGTGTAGTATGATTTAATTTGACCATAAACACATAATATTTAACACTGAAAAAGAGTTCAATTTACACCAGGTAAAATTTGATTTAATACTGTTTGAAAGTTAAATTTACACTATTTTAGTATTTGAATTTACACTGGACCAACGAACCATATTTAACACCATTTCGGTTTGTATCGATATAGACCATGTATGGTGTTAATTTGGTGTTAAAATGGTCATGAAATTTTGAACAGTGTAAGAAGGAGCTTCAAAGCCTCTGTTAGGTCGACTCTTACCGCTGATATTAGGTATATCCATTATACCTAATTATTAAGTTAAACTTTACAGTACAACTTTTTGAAACAAAGGGGACATTAATGAAAATTCTAACTTTTGAATTACCACCTTGTGTTTTAATTAAAAATAAAGGCCTTTAATTATATATATGTACCTTTGTTGTTCATTATGGGTGTTCTAGTAATTGCTGTAATAAAGCATTTTTCGTAAAAAAAGAAAGAAAAAACTCCTTTACTCGCTTAATTGAAAAGCTTTACAAAAGCCACTGCGTTATTCTATTGTTGGATTTTTCATTAAGTTTGTTACTTAAATGAAGTCAGCGTTTTTAAAATGTTAATTCCAGTATGGTTTAATGACATTTTCCACGTACGTATTACGTTTTAAAAACAGGAAATATAAAGTTCAGTTTACTTAAAATAATGTTTCATAATTTTATTTTTATGTTTAGTATCTTGGTCTATTAATAAGTTTAGTATTAGTAGACCAAAATTATTTTATAATAATTGAATGGGGTTATGCAACAGAGAACCATCCCTCATAATAAAAAAAGCGGGATAAATGTATTAACGTGATGGGGCCACGTAGGGCCACCTTTTGAAAATATTTTAAAGAAATAAAACATGCGGAAAAATACTAAATTAAAATATTCAAAATAATATAGAACTCTGCAATCAAAGTATTTAAATCTCAACAAAGCTTTAAGCTGCATGGTTGTGCCATCTTTCCCTTATATATTGAAATTGTGAAAGGTTATACAGCAACAAAGATCCATGCTACTTGGATCTGGTTTAAGTTGAAAAAATAAGGTTGAAAAAAATGACAAAATAAATATTTTCAAAAAAAAATAAGAGAAGATCAGGAGGATCTCAGAGCTAAAATTAAAAGATTTAAAATCTATTTATCACCTTATTCCAAATGATGGTTTCCATGTTATAATAAAAAAATAGGCAATAACTATCAGTTTTATTTATTCTAAAAGATACCAACCAACAAATTTACTTATTTTATTGAAAATAATGAAAAAAATATTATAAGAAATAAAAATTTAGTACTAAATTACCGATTTGAAAATAAAATTAAAACTTTGAATCTATAATTATAATTATAGATTCTTATAAGACCACAGTAATGAAGGAACCACGTAATTTTTCGGACGCTATTATCTTAGTTTTGCAACAGTGAGGGTTAGTTCCCTGTTGCATAACACCATTCAATTATAAATTAAAAAAATAAACTAAAAAAACAAAACAAAGAAAGTATAAAACTATAAATTTTACTAATCGAGACATAAAAGTTTTTAATTATTTATTCTTAATCAAAACACACACTGCAACACAAACTGCCATCCACCACATCTTCATGTGACGCATCTCTTTTCAGAGGTGGTTCGAGCCATGCACTACGTGATCTCCCAGGGATGGGTGATGTACTGGGGGACTGCCAGATGGTCGCCGGTGGAAGTGATGGAAGCGTACACCAACTGCAGGCAGTTCAACTGCGTCACCCCCATCATGGAACAGGCGGAGTACCACATGTTCTGCCGCGAGAAAACCGAACTGTACATGCCGGAACTGTACAACAAAATCGGCGTGGGCCTGATGGCCTGGTCGCCCATTTCCATGGGTTTTTCCCAGGGGAAAGACGATGGTAGTACCATTCAATTGTTCTCGAGGGCGAGTTTTAAGAACAAGTACAGTTCCTTTTCATGGACTGAGGATGAGACGGCTGCTGCCAACAAAGAGGTAACTAATATTCCATAATAAATATAAATATTTTTCAATGAAAAACATTTTCCTATTTTAAGGGATTCGGTTGGATGAAAGAAAGGAACCAGCCGGAAGAGAACAGACGTCAGGCGGAAAGAATCAGGGAACTCAACGCGGTTGCCGAGAGACTGGGCTGTTCCTTGATGCAGTTAGCTGTCGCGTGGTGCTTGAAAAATGAGTCCGTGCAATGCCTATTGCTAGGTGCTAGCTCCACCGATCAACTTTATGATAGTATTCAATCTTTACAAGTAAGTAAGACATTTTTTAAAAGTATACCGTTTCTGTACGGGAAACTATAATAATTAAAGTAGATATTCCCCATGTTAATTTTTAACGTAGATGGATATTTCAAATAATTCTAGTTGCAAAATTGGCAGATGCGCCGGGATTAATAATTGGGTGATTCTACAAAAGTTGGGCACCTTTTGACCTCATTTTGTTTATATAGTTTTCGGAGAAAATTAAACAGTATTTTGTTATAAGAACATAGATAATATAATCAATTTACTGTTCCAGACCGGGCCAGTCACTTTTTCAAACAGTTTCTGAAATATCTGTGTTTTCTAAATTTGAATGCAAGGAAAGTGACGAGTATACCAGGGTACTAATTAAATACATAATTTATTGGAAAACATTAAATATCTTAAAATCAAATAATCCCACACATCAGTGGCGGCTGGTGGATTTTGGGTATACCGTTATCTCAATTATTAGATATGGGACCCATACCAAATTTATATGGGTTTATAATGACATTAAATAAACAAGTTCTGCGCAAGCAGAATTTAAATTGAAGTTTGCGAAAAAAAGATAACCGAAACATCGAACATGGAACTGACGACACAGTACTTATGAATGGGATACAAATTTGAGATTATAATTCGGAATTAGGTATTTTACTGATTTTTTATTAGTGGATGCTACTTATCAACAAATCACATATAGCCTTATATAAATTTCAATGAAATATATATAATTTTGAATTTTAACATTGGACACAGAACTGACGGGTAAAAGTGAGTACAAAGATTATCAATTTTTTTAAAATTGCTATTATTCGAATCTATGGTAAAATATGAAAAATAAATTATTTAATGTTTTATACTTTGTAGTGAAATTAAAAAATTTAAGATAAATTGAATATATTTTAAAATAAAATCACTAAAATATTTGATTCAGGAGTTGTGACACGCCACGGTACTGATGTTTTGAATATATATTATGTTTTTCTACAAACGTGCTTTTAAAAAAATACATTAAAATTGGGTGGACAAGTTAAAAAAACCTGGATCTTTTGTAATATACTAAAAATATTTACAAAAAATATTAAAATACCTACTCTATTGACTGATGACATCAAGTTGTCCAACTTTTGTAGAATCACCCAATTGCATTTAAAATATAATCATAGGTACTTATTCATTACACCTAATATTTTACTGCCTATTTACCATGTAAATATATACCCCGTATATGTTCCAATCTTATTTAGCAAGGCTCTAGTTCCTAAACAATTTAGCTTTGCCTGTCTAAATTAATTTGGTACACCCTGTATTTCATACAAAATCGACCTTTTTATTTGGCTGAATATTGATGCTATACAGAGTTTCCTCTAATCGGGTTGCCAAAAGAAAAAAACTTTTTACTATGCGTTTATAGAAAAAAATTATAAAAGAAAAATTTGACAATTCAAATAAAAGTCTAAAACGAAATAACAAATTTTATCTCCACGCGGTCTATAATTTAAACTTTATTGTTGTCAACATTCGATAAAGAAATACCTTGTTATGGCCTAGGCCGATAAAAATTTTTATGAGGCAAGTAATTAGTTCGATTTTTTCTCGCTAGGGGTATTGTTTTGACAAATTAATCCTTTTCTAAGAAATTAACGTACTAAACTGGTTTAATTTATTTATAATAAGCACTAATTTGTTTGTTTTACTGTTATAACATTATAATGTTTAATATTTTTCATTAAATTATTGTAAAATTAAATATGAATAATAAAACAAAAAGAGAGGTTAGGACATTGCAATTTGACGTTTCACAGTTGTGTTTTCTTTTTCTACGATTTAAATTATCTTTAAATTTTAATTTGCTTTAAGTTTTCAGTAAAATTAAATGTTAAACACAGCGTAAACATTCCAAACTACCTATTTTTTTTAATAAAAATGCAAACAAATTGAAATTAGATACCTATTTATTAAACAATTAATTGAATTCAATGTAATAGCAAGAGGGTAAGTAAACCATTTTCTTACAAAAATCCATTTCTACTTAAATCATGTAGCTAGGTATTGTCAAACTATTACTGCTTCTAAAAGGAATAATAATTATTGTACATTTAATGTAATCTTTAGCTAATAAATAAATGAGATTCAAAAAAGTGAGGTTAGGCCGCTTTCATGTTGAATTAAATTGACCTATATAAAGTGCTTTGAAGATAAAATGTTGTATGCCATTCGGCCAAGAAGTGTCTTTTTGTGCTTCGCTCAATTGTAGGCCTCCGCTACGCGTCGGCCTTCAAACTTTGAGCTTAGCACAAAAAGCCTTACTTCTTAACCTAATGACATAAATAACTATTATTTTTATTTATTTCTAAGCACCCTGTACAGTCAATTAATTTTTTTTGGGGAAATATCATTTTTTGAACAATCGTTAACAACCTGTGTCCAATTTGTGTTGGATTTTTAATTTTCAGTTCATTTCTATAAATAAATATTAATTTGTAAATGGGAATATCCAAACAAATAATAATATATTTAAGTTAAAAAAACCCATGTACATAATTTGTAATATATAAACACGTTTTCTATTATTGTAAAAAATTTAAACAAAACAAATAATTATGGCTGGGGGATTTACTTCCTTTTTAGCTTAAACAATATAAAAATTTGTATAATTACCCACTGGGAAAAATAATATTTCTACAATGTTACTGAACGTTACATTTGTTAGGTGTAATGTTACAAAAATTCTTGTGGCAATGTTGCAGGAACATTGCAACAAAGCCTTATGTCCGGCTCAGGAACATTACATTTACAAATAAAATGTTGCTTAATGTTGTTAATGTAAGGTTCCTGCAACATTACATTTGTTAGGTGTAATGTTACAAAAATCCTTGTGGCAATGTTGCAGGAACATTGCAACAAAGCCTTATGTTTCAGGAACATTACATTTACAAATTAAATGTTGCTTAAATGTATTAATTGCAATGTTACTAAATGTTATTTTTGTTAATGTAAGGTTCCTGCCACATTACAGGAAGATTGCAATTAAATTAATATGAAATATTATAATAATAATTAATTATAAATATTTATCCGTAAGCTAGAGGCCTATAATCCGGATATATATATATATATAAAAATAGGTTTTCTACTTTACTAAAATGCCGAGGAGCTCGAAGCGCATTTTCCGAATGGTACCATACGTATGGTCCATTTACTAATGCACCATACCCACCAACACTGACAGAGACAGACTGTTTCGACCTGTTGTGTCTCATCAGTGTCAGGCAGTCGGTGACGGGAGACACGCATCAAGCTCGGCTTTGTTCACTTATAAAGATATAAATGACCAGGACAACGGCGAGATGCATCGGCAAGTCAGTCTGCAAACAACATGGCAAAAATTATCTTAATGCAATATTTCGTATAAAACATTGTCCAAAACTTATCAATGTAATATTATAATTGCAATGTTCCAAAAATCTTGCAAATTAAATGTTTATATTGTTTATAAAAAGTAACATTGCAAAAATCATCTTAATGTAATATTTCGGATAAAACATTGCCCAAAACTTATCAATGTAATATTATAATTGCAATGTTTCAAAAATATTCCCAAACATTCCAAAATAAATGTTTCTATTGTATATTTAAAGTAAAGTTGCAAACATTTTTCATTTGAAAGTTGTGTTAATATTTCAATTGAAACATTGAAAGAAAGTTATGTCTGCAATATTATAATTGTAATGTTTAAAAACTTGTATGCAATATTTTATGCTATATGTTACAAATATAACATTGTAAAAACTTTACATGTGAATCTTTAAATAATGTTTCAAATTTAAGGTTGTTGGAAATTATTATATGCAATATTTCAAATGTAACATTTCATTTATGTTAATGCAAGTAGCACAGGAAATATTTTATTTGTAAAGTCGGCGAACATTGCAGCAATATTTTGTAAGGTTTCTTTCCCAGTGGGTACTTATCTAATAGAAAATGATATATTTTAATATATTTTATCTACTCCCCCATTGACAAGCCGTTTTAGTCACGAGCTGAAGTTAGCAACAGTGGCTTTTGGGTATTTTAGTTAGCTTTATTATAAAAAAGGGAAAAGCGAGGTTAAATCCGTTGACATGTCAAATGATTAACAAATAAAATTGACTTTCTGTTCGTCGTAGATAAAGTATTGTATGCAACTTCTCTAGACACTGGTTTTTATTAAACACTCACTCGAAAGCTTTACTCGTGCCTAATAAAACTAAAATGGCGTTTATAAACTTGATTTTTGATCATTTTTGGTTAAAAGAAAAGGTAAAGCATAATTAAATACGTTATAAACTAGTATAGTATTATAGCTGTTAAAAACTTTACGTCATTTAAAAATTTATTTAGTTTTTAGTTTTATTAGCATATTTAATTTTTGGACTCACTAAATTGATATGATACCGTGGAATGCCCCAAAAACAAATGTCAGTAGAAATTGGTAAATATTTTCTTTACATCGATATTTTTATATATTTTGGAAAAAAAATTAAAAAAAAAACATAAGGAAAAAAATAGGAATAAAAAGGATAAATAAAATTTGCAAAACCGCTAAATAATGCCAAAAGACTTACTGAAGGTATCCTAAAAAAATTCCAAATTCTTGGATTTGGAAACAAAGCAAAAAAAAATCCCTTATTCTGGCAAAATTTGGCAACGTCGCAAGAAATTCCTAGGTTCTGGGATTTTCCAAGAAAAAAAATCAAAAAGCAAAAAAAAATCAAAAAGCAAAAAAGTAAATGTAAATTTGGCAACACACAAATTCGGAAATTTTGAAAATTTGGCAACGTCGCAAAACTATCCTCCCATAAACTATCTCTATTATAAAAATCCCGTCGATCCGTTGCTGCCTGAAAGCAAACAAACAAATAATCTATACTTAAAATTGCACTATAATTTTTAAGTTTTTTTTGTTGTAGTTAATTCCTAAATTAAACACCAACATGGTAGCCGAAATTGAACGTATTTTAGAAAATAAGCCCTCCCGACCCCCCATGGTGTCAACTTTGGCGCTTAGATGACAGTCAATGTGCCCCCCTGGGTCCATCAGGTAAATACATATTTTTTTTTGCATAAATGTTTTAATGTTTCAATAAATAACACTATACTGTTATACATAATATCTAACATTTGTCTTTTTATAATACAGATTTTTTTATTTTATTACATATAAATATTTATCTTTCGAAACTATAAAATAAATGTTTTTGTTTGTTTATTTATTATTTTTACATTTAGGACAATGTTAGAGATTTCTAAATATTTTTAATTTTACAATAAACAACATAAAATGAGAACATAGAACTTAGTAAGGATGTTTTTTGTGGTATGTAGATATACGGTAGATTTGGATGCTTTCGAATACAAAATTTTGCATATATATTTGAACCATTCAAAATAAGCATAATTAAAAATAAAAAACGTAATTGAATTATGTAAACAAAATGGTACCAAATTAATTTTAATTTTGAAATGGTTCAAACATATTCTTTCAGCTTTAAATTAGATGTTACGTAGTTTGGTCGTACAAATTGTATTTTAAAATCAGCTTTTTACAAACATTTTTAACAATCTTTCTTGGTAAAATTTGGCCTTTTATAAAACAACTAAATTATGCCTCTTAAACGTTTTTTACAGTTAAATAGGTCAAATATGTGTAAAAATTTGATCTCTGCGTTTTTAAACATTGACAGAACTCTTAGTAAAAATGCGCGCAGAATTGTGCTCAGCGTAAAAAACCGTTTAATTAAATTTAGTTTAATAATTACTGCAGTTATTATTGGCTGCTTTTCCACTTATACCATGGTTAACCATTTTCGGATTCAGAGGACAATTTTTCATAAAAATTGACTGCTAAATTTTCGGGACACAAATTGCTATTAACGAGAATTATTAGTGGCTGCTTTAACAGTAAATGCTTCAATAAGCACACACTAACTGATCTCTTATAGTATATATTAAAGTTATATAAAATTGGTACAAGGTTGTTTTTGTTATAGTTTTTTAAAAACCGCTCAAAATCATGTACCACTCGAAATTGCGATTATTAAATATTAAGTATAAAAAATAAGTACTTGACGTTCAAAACTAATAGAAGAAAAAACGTTTAAGTGGTGTATTTGAAGTATTTAGCAATTATTAATTTTAAGTATATCAAAGGCGGCGGCTGGTGGATTTTGGGAACACCCATATCTTAGTTATTAGACATGGGACCCACATCAAATTTATATGAGTTTATAATGACATTATATAGACAAGTTCTGCGCAAGTAGAATTTAAATTGAAGTTTGCGAAAAAAGTTAGTTTTTAAGTGTGCCCCCCAGCCTCCTGCCCCCCCCCAATTAAGATAATTCAAATTAAAGTCTTTAATTCACTGAAGTTTATAGACAAATTTCAAATTTTATTAAAAAAATTCAAGATCTACAGGTTTTATACCATTTTAAATTTTTATTATTTCTTATTCTAATTTTTAAAAAATTAGAAATGGTATAAAGTCATAATACATGAATTTTATTAACAAAATTTGAAATTTGTCAATAAACTTCAGTGAATTAAATATTGTACCACTTTAATTTGAATTATCTTAATTTGGGGAGGCAGGAGGCTGGGGGGCATACTTAAATACTAACTTTTTTTCGCAAACTTCAATTTAAATTCTGCTTGCGCAGAACTTGTCTACACAGCAAACGGAAAATTATAGAAGTGTATAGGATGACTCCGCGTTTGAATATCAAATCTTAAAGTTTTATCATAACTGTATTGAATCGTGCTTTGTTTTTATATTTTTCGGCTCTATACCTATGCACGACTATATTTAAAGTCAAACTCAATGGTGTCTTACAAGATACATTATTTTGATATTCTATATTCAACAGAGAGGTAGAAACTCGACCCGGTGGAATGGTGCAGTCATTTATGTCTCTAGAAGTTATTAAAAAAGGGTTCAGTCCAATGGTGCAGCAACTTCGGGTTCCTATTCTCCTCAGAGACATAGAAACTCAAGCTTTTCGAATTTTACTGGTAATGATTTTCGTTAATGTCCCCGAAAATTATACAAAAACAGCGCAATGCAATATCGCAACGGTTTCGACTTTTCTTTACTCTACCAAATTATAGAAACTGGAATCTTTCTAATACTGTTCTAGTCAATATTTCTGAGAGTATAAAAAGAGGGTGTAATATTGCAAGAAGTTTTGATCTTTTGATGGATGCAAGTAGTTTGAATTTTCTCCTTTCTGCATATGATTTTGTTGAAAATAGTTCCTTTCTTTGGTTCCTTTGTCTTATTTTTATTTACCGTAACAACTCAGGTATGTAAAGCACAGATGATATGATGTTAAGTATATTTATGTATTATATAAAGTACCTATATTTGTATTAAAAATTTCAGAGGTTATGTTGAAAAAATTATCGATATGCTATTAAACTTTAATAATTTAGTAATTAGGTCTGTTGGTAGACCCTGCACTATCTCCACTGGTATATGTTAGTTTTGTAATATTTAAATCTGGTTGATGAAAAAGTACACACCAGTGCAGGTTATTGTAGCATCTACGAACAAATGAATTAAAGGCCCATTGGCAATTATTCCTTTAGGAAAAATATTCAACACAGCTTAATTAATTAATAAAATGAAAAAAATCACAATCATGTCGTATATAGTTTTTTAAGCATAAAATAATTTTTATATTAATACTAGTTCAAAAGTGAAATTACGACCTCTATACTGTGGAGAGTATTGAAACGCTCGACTGACGAATACAACTCTATACCGTAGGGAGATTTAGAAAACCATATTCAAACGTGGCGTTATCCTATAAACCTCTATAATTTTCCGTTTGCTGTGTATATAATGTTATTATAAACTCATATAAATTTGATGTGGGTCCCATGTCTATAGACTATAATAACTGAGATATGGGTGTGCCCAAAATCCACCAGCCGACACTTAAGGCGCGAGTTTGACGGTTTCAATTGATGTTTGTAGTGGTGGTCAGGGAGGCACCAGCAACGCAGAAAGCCCGAAAGGCGACGACGTAAGCACCGCAGACACCGCCGACAAAGAGAGCCAGAAGATGCCTTTCTGTGAGATTCAGTGACAAAAAGTTACCGAGTTCGTGAAAACTCGTAAAATAAAAACACCCGACGACAAGCCGAAGGAGAAGGTGCGCTGGTCCTACAGCCCCGAAGACGGACCCAAGTGCACCACTGAACCCTTCGTGTGCAAGAAAAAAGACAAAAAGACAGCGCACAGCCCGGTGCAGGTATGAAACGAAGTAAAAGAAGTTTTGCTGTAAAACTTCCATTTGGTCCCAAACACAAAGGTTTTTCTGAACGAGAGAAGGCTACCTGGCTAAGTATCTAAATCATCGTCAAGGCCACCACTTTTAATTGGAACCTTCCAATCACATGTAAAAATAGATGCAATTGTGCCAAGGTAGGCAATTTGTGTGTCCGTTTCAATGAAAACACACCTAGATAAAAAAAACGAAATTTCGTTTACATTTCTACTTGATAACTAAATTAATAAGTAAGGTATGGAGGCAATTTTAATACTTTACTATTTACCTGGTCATGTCGTAAGTTCTGTCTTTACTTATTTCACTCTTACATGTCAAAATAAATATCAAACAATTTTCCGTTTTAAGCCTCGCAGAGTACTATTCAAGTTCTTTTCGACCTGGGAGGTACAAGATTGGACTATAAAATCTTTTTTGAAACAATACTTAAACCGAACCAAATTCGTCAACTGCTCGAAAAGATTCCTAATATAAATATTATAATAAAAAGGAAAAACTTATGGCAAAACTAGGTAAAAACAAGTTCCTCTTATGAACCAAACATTATACAGACAATAATAAATTAAATACAGTGTTCAAATTCCATCTACAATCCACAATCCATGCAAAAAGGTCTATTCTATCTCGTTTCGCGAGTTAATTAATTATTATTAATTAATACAAATTAATGATTGTTTTCAACGTTGTGTTTCTTACAGCCCAGAGAGCCATATCAGGTTAAAACTTGGCCAATAATTGCCCTTTCACCTTTGGAAAAGTTTTGCCATTAAATGTACAATATAGGACTTAATATTCCTATGATTTTTGTGCAATCGCGATGGCTAACATTAAATGATCAAGTGCCCAATAATATGAAAAAGCAGTTTGGATTAAGTTAGGTAGGTCCAGAAATTTCTTTCAGAGCTGTCAAATGTCACCACAATCCACACAACAAGGTCTGTTCGATCTCGTAGTAAAAATACTAAAAATCACTGCAACACTGCACATCATTCGATGGCGGCCATTTTTGTTGTTTACAATTCTTGTGCTTTGGGTTTATAAACCCAATGCACAAGATTAATAATCGTTTTAGGCGTTGTGTTTCTTACAGAGAGACTTGCAAGCCTTAAAAGAGACCTCAAAGTGGTAAGAACAATCATTTTACTCCTCTTTTGTAAAAAATAAACCTTATTCTCATCAGGGCTGTCAAATGTCAATTTGAAGGTTAATTTGTGGGTTATAAAATAACCTTACCACTTTGAGGTCTCTTTTAACGCTTGCAAGTCTCTCTGTAAGAAACACAACGTTTAAAACGATTATTAATCTGTATAAACCCAAAGCACAAGAATTGTAAACAACAAAAATGGCCGCCATCGTATGATTGTGCAGTGATTTTTAGTATTTTTACTACGAGATAGAACAGACCTTGTTGTGTGGATTGTGATTGTTACAAAAGAGGAGTAAAATGATTGTCAGCTCTTTTAAGGCTTACAAGTGCCTTTGTAAGAAACACAACGTTTAAAACTATTATTAATTTGTATAAACAGCACATGAATTGTAAACAACATAAAAATGGCTGCCGTTAAAGTCTGTGCAGTGGGTTGCCTAATTTAGCTTACACGAAACGATATAGAACAGACCTTTTGGTGTGAATTGTGCTATGATTAAGGTAAACAAAAACTTTTTATTCAACCGCACTGTATAATATAAAGTGAAGATCAAAGCAAGTAGAATATTCTGTGATTAAGATTTGTAACGAAAAGAAACGTTTTTATAAAAAGTCGGTGGCGTGTATAATATTAGCTAGTGATAGATAATCTAATTATTAAAAATTAAACTTTTTTACCTTGTAAATATAAACGAGAAGGTATAGTCTTTAATTGGCGGAGATCCAGTGGAAATGTAAATGGGAATTTTAAAGTACACTCCCAAATAAAAGACCACGTTGCCTAATGAATAAGTTGCTAATTAAATATGGCATGTAAATTTTGCACAAGGAGTTTTAAAAGTACTGTTTTAATTATGTTTTGGACTGTAGTTTAAATTGAAATTTTTCACGTTGAAAAAAAAACAACCAAATCAAAATATAAAGGTTTGCAATTTAAAAATATTTTTATCAGGGGCATTCCACGTTACTCGGTAATTTTTGTCCCGCCCGTCACAATTAAAAATCGTGAGTAAAAACCACACGTTACACGGAGAGAAAAATTTTGCTAAAATAACTATCCAAAGTATTGTTAAATGACGTATCGTAAATTTAGTCAACTGTTTTATTAAACTGAGGATTTGTATGGCTAAATTGGCTATACAGATCCTCAGTTTAATAAAACAGTTGACTAAATTCACTATACGTCATTTAACAATACTTTGGATAGTTATTTTGGCAAAATTTTTCTCTCCGTGTATGAAATTTATTTTAAAATATTGTTTATTATGCTTGTAATAAGCTTATAAGCACAATACAAATAATATTATAAAAAGATAATTTAATAACTTTTTAATTGTGACGGGCGGGACAAAAATTACCGAGTAACGTTTAATGCCCCATCAGCATGGACCAAAATTACAGATTAAAGAATAATTGTAATAAATATTCTTTGATTAAAATTCGAAGCCATAATAAGAGCTTTAACATAAGAATTTAGCTCAAATTAGTACATAAAACCAAAGAATTTTAATCAAGGAAATGTTTTGATTTGTAAAAATGTTAAAATGGTACATTTAAAAATGTTGAGTAGAGCTTAAAACGCTTCTAAATCTGTGACAAACCACTTAGAGCAAATGTCTCGAAAACTAATGTTTTAAATTAAAACTTGTACATAGAGTGAGAAACGTATAAAAGCATTTAAATTGTATAAATGAAAGTCTATACAATATTTCCCGCAATACTTTATATATCGATGATAAAATTAAAATAAGTTATTTGACCAATATTTCTTTTTAAGAAATAACGGCCTTTACATTTGCTTTTACAAAATATTATATAAATATTTTTCATGGTTAAAATTTTTCCAATTTGTAGTTTGATTTTTTATTTTTAAGAATTGGTCCGATATTAGCAAGTAAGAAGCGTTTAAAAAAATAAAATGCACGTCAACATTTTACTATAAACTATACAATGATGTATATAATTAATTCGATTTAGTATTTAAAAAAAAAACGTAAATAAATTAATATTAAATAATTTTTGAAGCACTTCTGCATCGGTAACACTTTAATGCCTTAATTAGTTACCTATTTTAATTTTCTAAAATCAGGCCATTATATCAAAAAATAATAAAATATTCCACCAATCAGAAAAGAATACCGATCGGTAATAGCAAGAAGACTATAGAAAGGAGAACAATACTTTTTTACGTTATTTTTTTTATTTATATTTTTATCCTAAACTGTTTTTTTAATTTTGAGGAAACTATATTGTTTATATGTGAAAATATATTAGAATACATTATGAACTCAAAATTTGAAAAAGTGGACTTAATACCATTTAGCTCTAAGGTCCTGATATTAAAATTGCCCGAGCGTTTTTTATATTAAAGCAGAACTTCGCGCGAGCGGAATTGTGCTCATTAACCTTTGACTAAGTTTAGTTTGGTATAAAAATATGTTAATATAAAAATAAGCGTTTTGCGTTTTCCGTAAAATATTTTTCGCTTTAATTTTTCGGGCTTGCAACTCAAAATGGCAGAATTATAAATATATAAGGATTTTAAACAAATTTCCAAAATTGTTTAAAAAAAGTTAAAATGTGTCCAATATATTATTATGATTTAAACGTTTTCATAGCAACCGCCATTAGATTCGAAGCGTTACTAACATTAAAAAAATTTATAATGATACATAAATAATTACTAATAACTAGAGACCGGAATGTAGGGTAAAGTGGGGTGAGATGGCCAGCCGGGAGAGATGACCAAGAGCTAAAACTCAATAAATTGTCGATCGATGGCGCTGCGTGTCCTCCCCGGCGACAAACGTTTATGTCTAAGCACGGCCGGTGTGATTTCGACCACGTCAAAGTGACATTAAAGCACTCAGAAAATAAAAATACTATCGAGTCCTTGTGAAATTATATGATAGTTTCTTACTACCTACTACTTTGAATGTGTAGAATTAAATTTACCGGTGATTTTAACATATTAGGTGAGTACGATGTTCATTCGATTGTTTTAACCTCTAAAAACTATTAAAAGGATGCAGTGGATTTTGTTTGTCACGCTGGCCATATCTCCCTAGCATTCGGGAGAGATGGCCACTAAATTGTTTTTGCTTCTATTTCTTTACAGTTTAGCGTCCTTTCGGCTTTAATGCAAAAAAATGCCAACAAAATATATCAGAAAGAATTCAAATCGTGGAAACTATACTCAAGAAAATTTAAGGCTAGCAATTGAGGCTGTCAGAAACGGTTCTTCTGTAAACGGAACCTCAAAAACGTATGGCATCCCTAAAAAGACCCTTGAAAGAAAAGTGAAGAATAATGTTTCCACGACTGGTAAAATGGGACCTGACAGCATGTTGGGGGAGGCAAATGAAAATAAATTGGTGATTCATATTGCATTGGCCAACTAACCCCACTGAACTGGGATAGATGGCCACGTACGACATATTTTTATAAATAATAAAACAAAAATTTTAAAAGTATTTTGACCCTATTTATTTACATACCTGTTGAGATGATAGTTAAGCTGTTGCAAAAAAAATATGTCATAATCCTAACCATTATAAAAAACTTACAGGCACATATTTTGCAAAACGGTGGCCATCTCACCCCCCTTTACCCTATGCAAATGCACATTTGCATATTTTGTCTATTTTTACAGATTTTTTCATATTTTTTTGATAACCTGGGATATTTTCGGTATTTTCACGGTACATTTTTTAGTTTGTTCTTGGTACGTGAAACAACCCTGGTTTTGAACCTTTATGTCAAATTTACGGGTATAGTATTGCCTAATATAGCATATTTTCATACTTATGTTGCATATAATCCGGTCTTTACTACTTAGATATACGTGGAATGAGGTACGTCAATAAATACTGTTAATGACGTCATGATATCTAGGTATAATCGACTATTTCCATATATCTATCCCTAATGAACTCAAAAGTTAAAACAATCATTTTAAACAAATAAATTCTTTGATATAATGGTCTGGGTTTTTTTAATTTTCAACCTGTTTCCAAAATAAAATTCATTGTAATTTAAACTAGGAAAAAACTAGGTTTACAATCCATGTATATATCTTTAATAAATGGTGCTATACATCAAATTTATTTTCACTTAAAAATAGGTTAAACTTCACTTTTAAAATCGATGCATTAGTTAACCATAATACAAATTTATAATA